TTCTCCTTTCATGAAAAGTTGTGACTTTTATGAAAAGTTGTACGTTGAGAGTTGTGACTTTTATGAAAAGTTGTACGTTGAGAGTTGTGACTTTTATGAAAAGTTGTACGTTGAGAGTTGTGACTTTTATGAAAAGTTGTACGTTGAGAGTTGTGACTTTTATGAAAAGTTGTACGTTGAGAGTTGTGACTTTTATGAAAAGTTGTACGTTGAGAGTTGTGACTTTTATGAAAAGTTGTACGTTGAGAGTTGTGACTTTTATGAAAAGTTGTACGTTGAGAGTTGTGACTTTTATGAAAAGTTGTACGTTGAGAGTTGTGACTTTTATGAAAAGTTGTACGTTGAGAGTTGTGACTTTTATGAAAAGTTGTACGTTGAGAGTTGTGACTTTTATGAAAAGTTGTACGTTGAGAGTTGTGACTTTTATGAAAAGTTGTACGTTGAGAGTTGTGACTTTTATGAAAAGTTGTACGTTGAGAGTTGTGACTTTTATGAAAAGTTGTACGTTGAGAGTTGTGACTTTTATGAAAAGTTGTACGTTGAGAGTTGTGACTTTTATGAAAAGTTGTACGTTGAGAGTTGTGACTTTTATGAAAAGTTGTACGTTGAGAGTTGTGACTTTTATGAAAAGTTGTACGTTGAGAGTTGTGACTTTTATGAAAAGTTGTACGTTGAGAGTTGTGACTTTTATGAAAAGTTGTACGTTGAGAGTTGTGACTTTTATGAAAAGTTGTACGTTGAGAGTTGTGACTTTTATGAAAAGTTGTACGTTGAGAGTTGTGACTTTTATGAAAAGTTGTACGTTGAGAGTTGTGACTTTTATGAAAAGTTGTACGTTGAGAGTTGTGACTTTTATGAAAAGTTGTGACTTTTATGAAAGATTGTGATCTTTCCGAAGGGTTGTAACTTTTTGAAAGAGTTGTGACATTTTCGATAAGACACAATAAGCATTTGTTCACACTACCCTTTGTTGTCTATAAATAGAGGAATTTCCTCTCATTTTAAAACAACGAAAAATTTGAACTTTTTCTTCTTCTGGACAATTAAATATTTGTGTACTTTGCTCTTGTTGAATGACTTACTGACACCACTTTTTTTTGTATCAATACACTTGTGAATAGAATCATTCTATCCTGAGAGGATCTATTTCTTTAAACCTCGGGTACTAGAGGGAAATAATTTTCTTAAAGGGACACTGTGCATTCGGTGGGCTCAATTTTTTCCATTCCGTTTCATTCTATTGTTACAGATTCTGGCATTTTTTTCCAGTCATTAATGTATGCTTATATTATTAATTGTTATTTTTGAGTACATGCTTTAAACTTTGTAGTTTATGTTTCTGAAAAATTATTGTTATAAGTATTTGTTAATACAGATTAAATAACAAAAGTTAATTGAGTATTCAAGCAAGTTTTCTCTATTGGAATTGTTGAAGGTACAGTAAAAAAAAAAAACCTCACAAATTTCTAATTTCTTCATCAACAATGTCATTCCTTCACATACAAGGATGAGATTTTGTGTTCTTTAAAAAATCCTCTGAGAGTTAATAACTCGGCATGCCCGTATTTTTTTATTTTTATATTATTGTTATCTATTTTTACTCAATTTTATCGGTGGATATTATGAGTACTTTAAGGAATGAAAGTTTATTGAAGTGTTGGTCAATTTTTTGAGGTATGTTATTTCAAAACATGAGAACTTTTCTGGTTAGACAGATTTGTTATCATCATTGGATATCAAACAGTTTACTCCCTTTAATGTATGTTTTTTCTCGTTGTTTTATTGTCTCCTTAAAATTGTATTGATTACTTTTCGTTTGGTACGTATATGATCTCACTTGGACAAAACTTTCGTCCTTTTAATGTTTTTCTGTTTTTTCCTTCCATTCGGCTCTTCTAAATTTTTTTGATGTGAGTTATGACAATTTTCGGCAAGCTTAATTTTAAGAATATGAAACAAAACTGCTCTAAATAAAAGTAATATCTTAAGCTACAAAAGATATGTCTATTAATATAGATTTGTTGGCCTTCATGTCCCAGGTCATTGTTGAGTGTTTGAGTTATCTAGGTTAGACTCATTTTTAATTTTTTAATGTTAGAGAATATTTCTTTAACATGAGTTTAGAATCCAACATTTTGATCTACTTGTACTTTCATAATGCAACAATTATACATACATATTTCTGAAAAAGTCGTAAAGTTGCATTGATGAAACACCTAAAAGGGCCTTTAGAACAACAGATTAATGAAGAATGAATTTCTAAAAAGGTCAACAATATTATTTTGTTGTTGTTTCAAATTCATTTTTCTCCTTCTATAAATTTTGTTAGAGTAACAAAGTAACAATAACGAAAAGTAGTGAACGTTTAACCTCAGACAAGTAGATTGTCTTTAAAAGAAATTATTTATGTTGTTGTGGTATACATTTTTAACGGTCTCAATTTATTTATAACTAAAATTGATTATCAAAAACTTTCACATAATATTTTTTTCAGAAGGAGTTATTCTAATCATAAAATTATCAGATTCTATATTTTTAATGTAAAAAAAATAGAAAAAATGATATCTAATCGCTACATAAAAACATCACTCAATTTTAACAAGACAATTATATCATCATACATATATTATAATAAAATATGTAAAAGATAAAAATGATTAGATATGAACATATTTTTAATCATTCATTATATATTTACAATTTGAAATATGTGATAATATCAAATCATTTAATTTCTATTGAAATGTTCTTAAAACATACTAAAACTCTTTTTTTCTTATAACAGTTGATTATTGAAAAGGTTGTTCAAAAATTTAGAAAGTTATTTATGCCCGCGCAAAGCGCGGGTAAATTACCTAATATATATTAAATTCTTTTATAATTCACAGAATTAGTGACATTTGTGTATTTCTATATTTCTTATATATATAAAAATAAATAAATAAATATTTCTTTCGTTTTTCAGCTCCTTCTTTAACATATTTAGGTTTTCATTTCCTTTTCTTTTCTTTTTGTTATTTTCAAGATTTTCCCTTTTATGACAATTTCATCTTTTTCTCCTTTGTTGTCTATAACAATTTTTAGGGGTTTCTCTTTACAATAAATAAATAATTCATTCCTTTTACAATTATTTTTTCCTTTTTTTACTGATATTTTTAGCCTTTGTCCATCTATAGTTAGTATATTATTAGTATTATTTTTTGTCGAGAAAGATGATTACATTAATTTAAACTTGGCGTATAAAGGAATGTTGAGTGACTCTATTAAAATACATATTTTTATCGTGAGCTATTCTGTTGTTAGACACAAAAAAGGGATATGAATAAGTGATATCATTATATGTTGTTACATTGTTATTAAAAGACTGAGTGTCATTGTGGCTATGCTTTGAAGCTTTGAAGATTCTTCTTGGAGTTATGGTGCCTCCCTGAACCACTCGTGGGAGATTGATAACGGAAAAAGAAGATCGATGTAGCATAATGATATTGTTTTCATGTAGGGTCTTACGAAAATGTGCAAATCAATCTGCAATAGTATGTTATTCCTGATACGCATGTTTGATGTTGGATGACGCAGTTGATAGGCGCAAAAGATATCTACAATCATTGAAGACAAAAAAATTGCATTGGTAAAGTTCTTTAGATACAGAATTATCTCTCATTCTTATCATATATTTGCTATTTCTTTTTGATACATTTGGAATGTTTTGTCTTTTTAAAATCAAACTCAACAAAGGAAAAGGATGATGGAAAGGGATAGTAGCAGTAACAATGTTTTTACCAAAAAAAAAATATTTGTGTTTGAATTTTAATAAATAATGATAAATAACCATGTCGAAATAGTATTTTTCTAATATATCATTAAAAAATTTCATATTGAATGCTTTGAGATCTCTAATTAAGAGTGCAAATATATTATCAATTTCATCACAATCATTGTTAACCCTTTGAAATCTACTTCGCGACCCATATATTTTACTTTTAATATTTAATAATTATACATATTTAAACTTTTGGACATTCTATTAGGACGAATAATTCATTTCTATTCAAACATCATTTATTTGAACTAGATTAATATCAAAATTAAGTTATGAATTATGCATAAAGCTATAGATGTTATAGTCCTGTGTGTTTTGTGTTTATGTATGTATATAAATATACACACACATATACTTCCATAATAAGTCAAAAAGGAATATTAAAAAACATAATAATCTTCCAAAAATGGGCTTCTAAATGCAGTATTTCATTAGTTACTTTTTCAGGGAAATGGAACTTAGATCACAATGTGAACCTACTTATGAGTGAAATTTCGTTGACAACCAAATTTCTCAATGTGTATTTAAAACGTCACAAAAATTATTCATGATACCTTAAAAAGAAAACTCAAACCAAAATAACACCTTATTTACATGAAATTTAAGTTAATTTCTACGTAAAGCAAAAATCACAAACTCTTAAATAATCTTAAAGGAATGTTTACATTTAGAAAATAGTAACAGTAACAACACTTAAGGAATTTTTAATAAAAAAAGTAAATAGGTCTTTGACATTATTTCTCTAAAATTGACTTCTTCGAAAAATACCATTTAATTGAAAAAAATCTTTTGTCATTTTTATACATAATAAATAAAAGTGTACTTAATACATAATATTTTGAGAAAATCCAAAAATTACCCCTTAAACATTAAGCCGAATTTTTAATTACCCCTAATTTACCTTCAGACTATTCTTAATTGGGAGGCGGCGGCGGCAAATCAACGGTACTACTGTGCACCCTGTCAAACAATTTTATGATGAAAATTCTGATTCCCTCACGCAATTCTCTACAAAAATGTGACTTCACTCTAAGAAGAGAAGGTTCAGATTCGTGTTTCTCTCGCCGGAACAACTCGCCGGAACTGGAAAGTTATGGCTGCAATTTGCATTCGAGGTGGAATGATGCAAAGCATCGAGGAATCGTTTGGTGTGAGGTATAAGGTATAATTCTCAGTATAAAATGTAGTATTATTTTATTCTATGTTTGATTGGAGGTATTAGGTATATAGTTTGGAATATGCAGCAATAAAGTTTCATTCATATATATTTGATGCTGATACATATATTAGTTTGGTGTAAACATTTTTCTATGAAACAACTTTCTTAAAATGAGGAAAATAATTTTCTTAATAGAAATATAGCAAAAACAAGTTTCATAAGTAAACATTTCAAGTTCAGTTTCTTCTACTCAACCAACCAATGCCCCCAACCCTTGACCATCTCACCCAACAAGCAATTTTGGCCAATCCAAAATGTTGATAACCAAAATCAAAGAGAATTCAAAAGTACAAGAAGATAGAGGATGAAAAAACATGAACAAATTAAACTATATTCATTGGAATATGCAACCAATTTAGGAATCCAAATAAAGCTTCACTCATATATATTCAGCGCGGATACGTATACTAATTGAATCTGATATAAGTAGTCAAAAGGTTAGTCATTGAGAAAAACCCTAAAACAAAAGTTTTAATTCTCATATTGTCCTTTTTATGTATAGCCGAATCCCAATATATTTATTAGAGAAGTTGATGATAATCACTAATGACCTAATAAATTGAGGTTGTCACATGTTATTACACGCCTTATAGATACACTTATCTATGTGGTAAACCGCTAATCTATAGTATTTTGACTTCAACTTTATGGGGTCATTTGGTTATATCTCAAGATTAAATTAAACTACATACCTTGGAATATGCAACCAATTTAGGGATTCAATAAAGTTTCATTCATATATATTCAATGCGGATAAGTATACTAGTTGTATCTAATATAAATAGACAAAAAGTTAACCATTGAGAAGAAACCCTAAAACAAAAGTTATAATTCTCATATTGTCCTTATTATACATATAGGCCCAAGCCCAATATATCTATTAGGGGAATTGAGAATAATCACTCATGACTCAATAAACTGAGGTTGCCACGTGTTATTAAATGCCTAATATGTATGCATATTTATTAAGCGTTTAATAACACGTGACAACCTCAATTTATTGGGTCATGAGTAATTATTCTCAAATCCTCCAATAGATATATTGGACTTGAGCCTCTATGTATTAAAAGGACAACATGAGAATTATAACTTTTGTTTAGGGTTTTTTCTCAATGGTTAACCTTTTGGCTACTTATATTAGATTCAATTAATATATGTACCCGCACGAGTATATACGAAAGAAACTTTATTGGGATCCCTAAATTGGTTGCATATCCTAAGATATGTAGATTAATTTAACCCTGGGATAAGTTGTTCCAATCAAACGACCCTTGAAGGTTGATGTTGAAATACTTTAGATCGGCGGTTTACCAAATAGATAAGCCTACCTATTAGGCATTTAATAACACGTGACAACCTCAATTTATTGAGTCATGAGTGATTATTCTCAACTCCTCTAATAGATATATTGGGCTTGGGCCTCTCTGTATAAAAAAACAATATGGTAATTAAAACTTTTGTTTTAGGGTTTCTTCTGAATGGTTAACCTTTTGGTTACTTATATTAGATTCAACTAGTATACATATCTGCGCCGAATATATATGAGTGAAGCTTTATTGGGATCCTTAAATTGATTGCATATTCCAAGGTATGTAGTTTAATTTGTTCATGTTATTTTATCCCCTTATCTTTTTGTAATCTCTTTGATTTTCGTTATGAACATTTTGGATTGACCAAGATTGCTTGTTAGGTGTGAGGGTTAGAGGTGTTGGTTAGGTGAGTAGGAGATCCTGAACTTCAAATGTTTACTTATGAAACTTATTTTTGCTTCTTTTATTTCTATTAAGAAAATCATTTTCCTCGTTTTATGGAACTTGTTTCTTAGAAAAAATGTTTCCACCAACTAAACATGTGTAAATTTTTAAATTTATACCAACATACACCTTTGAGATGGATGTATGAGTCATACAAGAGTGGATAAAATTAGAAATAAAGATATTCAAGATAAGGTGAGAGTGATTTTTGTGGTAGACATCTATGAGTATATAGACTGAGATGGTTCAGACATGTGAAAAACATATGCGTCAATGAGGATGTGTGAGAGGTTGACTATATTAGGTATGGATATGACACATTTTGCAGCTTATTAAGGACATAACTCTAGATAGTAAGATGTAGAGGTTGAGAATTACGGTAGAAGATTGGTAGGTAGTCGAACGTTGTGGTCTCCATTGTTTTATTATGTTTTACTCAAGCCGATGGTCTATTGGAAACAATCTACAAGGTAGGGGTAAGACTGCGTTCACACCACGCATCTCCAAATCCCATATGTGGACTATAAGGTATGTTGTTATTGTTGTGTGGGGAAGGGAAATAGAGAGATAGTGAAATTGATGAAATAGTTTTCTATGCTACTTATAATTTGAAAAAAATGCTATTATAAGGATCTCCCAGGTTACTTTTGGTGATCTCTATGAAAAATGTCGCATGCCTAAATAACATTTGTACTAAATTACAAAACCAAATTTCTCTTCGAGATCGAACTTACACTTATTTGTTGAATACCTCTATTGATACTACTAGACTAAAAGTTGTGGTGATTCGATTCCAAGTATATTATGCATCCATTTGGTTATGATGCCAAAGTTTTGCTTTTTAATCTTCTTTATGTTATTTAACTCTTTTTTATTTAATGGTTCAAACAAGGAGGTGTGTTTAGTTGATAAAACTTCTCATTGACTATGTATATTATGGTAGATAATCAATCCATAACTAATAAGGTAAGTAAATATTCTATAAATGTAAAGTATCTAAGGTGTCCTATTAATATTCTATGTAATTTTCCTTGTTGGGTTGCAATGAATCTAAATGTGTACGAATGTAGACATGTGTACTTATTAAATAGCAACCATGTTTCATTGGTCATTCTATCTGTTAGATATATAAAATGTCTTTAGAATGAACTTGCTGAGCAGGGATGCATCTAAGTGTGTGACCTAGTGATCAATAAAATGGTTGAGAACCATGATGTTTCAGGTTCATCTCTCGACAAAAACACTAGGTGATTTCTTCACGTCTATCCTAGCTTTGGTGAACAAAGTTACATGGTACATGTTGTCAGTGTGAGGTAATAGGTATCCCATGGAATTAGTTGAGGTGTGTGCAAGCTGACTTGGATGCCACAGTTATAAAACAATGAACTTGTTGAAGAGGTCGGCATGGATTAATCGTCAAGGTTTTTTCTCAGAAGGAGTTTGGATTAGTATATTGGCTTTCGATCTCCTTATGCTTTCAAGTAATCACCAAGGGCATGGTTTGACCGATTTAGCAAAATATTGTCCAATATTTTGACATGATTCGAAGTGAATGAAGACATTATTCATTTTAAGTTGAATCTTAGTCACTTTCAAACTAAAGACCTTGGTAAGTTCGATTATATTCTAGGTATTAAGGTGACACAATCTAGCAATGGAATTTTCATTTCACAAAGTTTGTATTGGACATATTGGAAGAAGGGAGCTTATATGACAAATAACTTCTCCAAAATATTAGGTGTGGAAAAGATGCACCATAAAATTGGTATGTGACAATCAAGTTTCAATACATATTACTTTGAGCCTAATTTTTCATGAATTAATAAAGCATATCGAAGTAAATTGTCATTTTATTTGACAAAAGATTGAATTGAGGTGCATCAGTGATTTCTTTGAATTAACATAGAACCAAGTGACCAAGATCAAGATCTTCAAGCATAAACTAGGGCAAGATTGGAAAGTTTTAGAAAGACATACATAAATGTGCCCTTTAACTTGGTCTCAGTTGATATCTAATGTGCATAAGTAGACACTTGAACTTGGCACACGTGGTTTACATGCCATAATACACATTGGACACAAATTGCCATGTAGGATGCATGTGTCTTGTGCTCACCCATAGTTGGAACACATAGATGTTAGCCGAAGCCAAGTTAATGGGCACATTTATGTTGGCAAGTATAACTAGGAATGAATTGTTAAAAATGAGATGGAAGGTGAGAATTGGAACTATCAGTATGTAATGGTGATGATGGTTGACAATGGTGGTGGCAATTAATAATTGTGGTGGATGATAGTGATAACTAATGGTGGTGATGATTGATAGCATAGTTGGCGATATATAATGATGATTGATGGTGGTGATTATCGGTAGCAAATGGTGGTTGTTGTAGTACAGGCAATTTTTGGTGATGATTGTAAATGGTGGCTAATGGTGGTGACAATTGATTGTAGTGATTGTCGAGGATGGTGGTTATGGACAAAAGTGGTTGATGGCAATGACTGAGGATGGCAGTTGATAATAATAGGCAGTAGCAACGGCGTCCATGAGGGTGGTTAGTGGTGGAAGTAGAGTATTGGTGAAATGCCATATTACATTAATCATTCAAATCTATTTAGACCTATCAAAAGATTGAAATAAAAAGCATACTTATTGATCAAAATTTTATTGTACCTAAAATCAAAGACACTTGGGGTTGTTTAGTAGGATGTATAGAGAACATGCGGAAAGAGGTTCATCCCTAATACATCTATTAGTCATGGTATTGTTAAGTCCTTTGTTTGGTAAGATTTTCAGATACACCATATTCAACATTTAGGGTGTATAACTAATACATAGCAAATTAGGGTATTAGCAATACAAGAGTAATTAATACATGAATAAGCATGGTTAAAGACAAAACTCTCCTTAATACACCAAACCACACAGTGAATAAGAAATAATTCCTGCATAATAATCTCAACATTACTAATACACCTTCAGTTTCAAAAAAAAAACATTACTAATACATCTTATTCAGTACTATTCTTATACACTCTACCAAACGACGCCTTAATGATTGAGATCTTGATTCATGAATTATAATCCCGTGTTCACTCCTAAACAACATTGACGTTGTGTGGTTCATATTATCAATATTTGTATATACGACTATGATTGTCTAAAAATTTACATACAATTTTACAGAATCAGTGTTTGATAAAGCTGCTTGTTTAGTAAAGATATCATGGACCAGAAGTATCAATTACCTTTCAAGGTAGGGCAAACAACTGAAGCAAGGTGTTTGGAGGATGGATATCGTGGAGCGTGGTTTCGGTGTAAGGTACTAAAATACGTTAGGAGTATAGCATGAGCTTCAGTCTTGCAAATTATATTATTTGGATTCTAAGCATATAGAACAGGTTCATTTTAAATGTTGAAAAATATTTATTAGTTGTATCTAGTCCTTTTTGAACAAGTTCATGGTCACTTTGATGTAGTTTTCTTGCTCTCTTTACCAAGTTAATTTGCCCTAAGAGTATATTTATTTCTTGGCCAACTTTGAGCTTAATACTCACATGGTTCTCTAACAATGCTCTTAACTTACACTACTCTTTTAGTAGATAGACATATTCTGTTTGAATTGTTACAGAATATGCTATCCTTATGACTTGAATAGAAGTGCAGTGAGTGTTCTTAAACTTGTACTGAAATGCTCATGCCTACCCAAAGTATAAGCATATTCAAAGTCGTCCACTTGTCAGAGCTTTACTTTATTGAGAGCTTACTTTTAATGCCTTTTATTCTTGTTCTTCTTTCAAACCTGTTCTCGAGTCGAGGGTCTATTGTAAATAGTTTCTCTACCCCCTCAATGATAGTGGTAAGGTCTGCGTACACCTCACCTTCCCCAGACTCCACCTATGTTATTATACTGGGTATGTTGTTGTTTTTGTTACTTTTGATGCTTTGCTTTGTGCAGCATTATTTTTTCTCTACTTCAATGACCTAAAAAGATTTTCTTGAAGAAAAAATGATGATCAGTTATCTACAAGCATTGCATTGTATAAGTTTGTGAATATGATAATAAAAAAATACGCCACAGGGTACAGTAGCAAGCTAAATATTTGACCTTGGACTGCATATAGACAGGATAGATTTCTCATCAGGATACCACACATCCTATGAACATTACCACTATTTACTGTTCCATGGATGCAAAATTATATGTGGCCTTATTTCTTATCATTATTTAGTAAGTTATATACAGCTTATGTCATCTCAATTATTGGGAGGGGTTTCTATTACAACTAAGAATGAAGTTGTTGAAGATACATATTTTAGTTGCTATATTGCCGTTCTTGTTGTTGTTGTTGATGACATACCAATTACAAACATGGCAAACAGTTTTGGTACCAACTGTAACTACTCTGCGTCCACTTGATGCCATGCTAATATAACATCTTACTTCATAAAAAAAACAGTTTTGGTACCAAAGGGTTTCATCTTCTGGACTTGCTCTGTGCTTTCTATCATGCATAATGCTTTAGTTTGTTTTGTGTTACTCAATAGTTCGGAGGCAGTAGGTGGTTGTGGGAAGTGCAATATAAGGTACAAACTTGAATTAGTGGGATATTTTGGTGGATTCTAGGGGGGTGGGGGTGGTTGTTGACTGGATAGCTTGGTCACGATCTGTTTGTCTCAAGTTATTCATCCATTTGTTCTAGTTTAATTGTATTCTTTACTTATTTTATGTCCTCTGGCTGTTTCAGAAAAAATAAGCCAATGGAAGAACTCTTTTATGTCTTTATGTGTGTGTTTTCCACTCTTTCAGAGCTTTGCTGTGAACTGCATATGCTTGGCTTCTATTTGCTGAGGGTACTGCTATTGTTTCTTATTTCTGTCAGTAAGAATCGAAAAAAGTTGTAAACGTACGCTTATGGTTGCTCAGTAATTTCCTGAATTTGTATGAGATTCGCAAGTTCTTAGAGCATTGACTGCTTCACTCCTAACTGCTTAAGTTTTCAGTTTGTAAAACTTCTGCCATAACTACTATGTTGAACCTTTTGGTAGTTCTCCTCAAATTAAAGTCATTGTATCAGAACTTACCCTTTTGGACTAAGACAGTTTGTCACATTTGTAATCAATGTTTCATCAGCCTGCTGTTACTTGTTGGGCTGATGGGGGTTAGCAGTAATATAGGATTTTAGTTTTTTTTTTCATTTCATTTTAGAGATTTCAACTCTTTTCCATATTTTGCATTTAAATAATTGTTTTTTGCTGGTTGTCAATAAAAATAAATTGCTTTTTGCTAGACAAAAGACTTTTCATTGATTAAAGAAGTAGACTATGATGCAGTTACACTTTTCTTGTATATATATGATATCAGATACAGGAGATAAGCCGCAGAGGAGGACATTGGAGTGCCTTATTGCAATACTTTGACTATCCAGATGAAAGTATGTTCTCTGATATGTTCTGGTTAATTTGTTGCTCTTGCTAATTAACAGAATGCCTTATGCCTTGGAATTTTGAATCTTAAATTCATGGGTGCATTTTTTCTGTTTAATTTACAGGACAATTTACTTTCTTGATATCTGAATTTTAAATGACAATGCATGGAGATTATATGCAGAGACTACCATCTAATGCCATATCTTGTAGTTACTAAATACAACAACCTACCCAGTCAAATTCCACAAGTGGGTTCTGCAGTTGTAGTTGCTAAATACATGTACAAAATGTTGTGAAAAGTTACACAAGATACTTCCATCTCAAGGCTGTAGCAGTTGTAAATTCTTATCACTCATTTGGAAACCTGGCATATCTGGCAGTATCAAAAGTAGACATAAAAACATTTTATATGTCGAAGTTGTCTTTACTCTTTCCCTCGGCAGAATTTGGGAGTTGGAGCTAGACACAGATCCTCTTGATGTTCGTTCCAACCGAGGCTAAAAAAAGTTGATAAATCTCCGATCACAGAGAAATTGTTTAATGTAGTAGTATTAGTTCTTTTATTCATGTTTTTGATTCTTGAGAGCTGGTTTATTGATCTAGAGTAAGTGAGCCGAAACACTATCTCCTAGTTTGCTGGATCTATCTTTTAGGTACCTTTTAGTGTTTGTCAGGGAGAATGTCACTGTGCTGCTAGCCCTATTGCCTTCTGTCATTGAACAACTTCAGCTAGTACCTTCTTTTCTGTTAATGTCATTGGAATCAATGGAGTTTTGCTCTTTACAACTTGTTCTTTAATACTTCCGTTCTTGGTCAATAGATGCTGATGTTTATGTCAATGAGCATGTACACTGGTGTGTATCACTTTCCCAGAAATACTGAATTACAAATCCTAATTCTCATCATCTTCCTTGCCTCCTACTTCAAGCTTTCACAAATTTTGTTATATTATATTATATTCTCATAATTATCTCCAGTTCCAACATTTTTTTACCTATTCCCTAGTTGTGGTTACATTAACTTGCAACTCGAAAACTCAGCTAGTTTTGAATACCTACCATTATGATATACCAAATGGAGAAAGTTAGCTGTAACTGGTCATTTCTGCTCTATTGAGTTCAGTGTTTTAAATGATGAGCATTTTGTATGGGTTAACCTCATATGTCATGACAAGTTACTGTTCAGAGTTCTCTTGATTTGTGAATTGAGAAACTTGTGTATTTGGATACTCTGTTGCTTTCAGACTATATCCAAGTAAATGTTGCTCATTGTGATTGTCATTATAGAATGGGCATGGACAGAGCTATATCAGATGGGGCAACTGATGCTGCGACCTGAGCAGGGGCGGATCTACATGGTGGCAAGGGGGTTCACCCGAACCCCCTTCGTCGGAAAATTACACTGTATATATAAGGTCAAATTCTGTTTCCATGTGTATATATATTAAAATGAACCCCCTTAATATAAGTAAAGAGGCTGGCTCAGTGGTTAAGGGTGTTCAAGAATTTGCCTGGATGCCTTGGGTTCGATTCCGCACGGCAACACTTTTTTTTCTTTTCTTCATTTAGAAAATCAAATAGCTAGGCTGAGATGGGCTCAATATTTTTGGGCTGGAGCTTTATTATTACTTTTTGGGCTTATTTTTTTCAATGTTATTTCTCCTTTTCAATATTCATTTGTTTGAATATAGGGAATTAGGCACATTATTTTCATTTTTTGTATTTTATTCTTTTTATCTCTATTGCTCATTTTATTTTTACGTAACTCTTTTTTTATATAGTATTTTATTTTTACGTAACTCATTTTTAACTGAACAAATAATATTGGTTCCGATAAATCATACAACCATCTACATAAAGAAGCTTCTTTTTACCATCTAAGTTTGGCAAAGGCGCAAAAACAATTACATTGAGATTAGATTTAAATAAATTTGAAAGGCATGATTATTCATGATATTTTTTTCTCATTTTTTCATTTCTATTCTAGAGAGATGTAAACTACATTTATTTGATTATTCTTCTTTTATTTTTCACCGATTGAAAACCTTATTAATTGAATAAATGAACAAAAAATTGGCGATGCCATTTATTTATCCTTTTAGCATTATAAT